GGGCCCGGGCTAGATTGGAACCTGCCACCTTAGGTGTATGTGGCTGGCACCTTAGCCACTTGAGCCACAGGCACCGAGCCACAAATCATTTTTCTGACACAGTTTTGGGGAGAATTTAGAAAAGCAAACATGTATAATACGGTTGACAAATTTAAAAGTTCACATAAATGTTTGTTGTTGTTCAAAAAATAATGTATGAAAATGATGATCCCAATGAAGAAATATAGGATTCTATTTTTCATGCTGCAATATAGAAAGTAAAAAACCACAATTACCTAACAGTTTTCATTTTATTCCACTTACTAGAATGCTTCACAGTAAATGTCAATCTTTTTTTTTTTTTGAGACAGAGTCTCACTATGTCGCCCTCCATAGAGTGCCGTGTCATCATAGCTCACAGCAACCTCAAACTCTTGGGCTTAAGCGATTCTCTTGCCTCAGCCTCCCAAGTAGCCGGGACTACAGGCACCTGCCGAAATGCCCAGCTATTTTTTTTGTTGCAGTTGTCATTGTTGTTTAGCTGGCCAAGGCCAGGTTTGAACTCACCAGCCTCAGTGCACATGGCTTACACCATTAACCACTGTGCTATGGGCCCTGAGCCAGTAACATAAATCTTAAAATCAGCCTCAAGACAGCTCTACTAGAAAGTGAAAATAATAAAACTTGGGAGTTGAGTATTTACAGTTCTGTCTAACAGAGATAAAAACTAGAGGGTTTTGGGGGGGGGCAGGAATTTTTTTTAAGAACTCACCACTTATGTGTGTTCCAAAATCTATCTTACAGATGTCATCATACTGTAATACTGTTGTGTCACCAGCATTGGGAGTATAATGGGCAGCACAATTATTGAGAGAACACCCAGTAGGAAATGCCAGGCCTGCATTTAATCCATTCTCTTTTATCAATTTGCGTGAACAGTCTTCTAACTTTTCACTAAAATAAAAAAAGAGAATCTGTTTGCTTTTACATTCTTATCCTTATATACCTTATAGGTAATCAAGTCTAGAAATCTTAAATTACTGTTATCTGAAAATTCTTTTTTTTTTTTTTTTTTTGAGACAGAGTATTACTTTGTCACCTTTGGTAGAGCGCAGTGACATCATAGCTCACAGCAACCTCAAAATCTTGGGCTCAAGTGATTCTCTTGCCTTCGCCTTGCCTCCCAAGTAGCTGGAACTACAGGAGCCCACAACGCCCAGCTATTTTTAGAGATGAGGTCCCATTCTGGCTCAGGCTGGTCTTGAACCTGTGAGCTCAGGCTATCCACCTGACTCTCAAGTGCTAGGATTACAGGCGTGAGCCACCGCGCCCAGCCCAATGAGAATTATAATTGAAAAAAGGATTTTTTTAAATTACTCTCTGGGAATGATCTAAACATAAACATACACTTTCTGAATGTAAATAACGTTTCTCTGATGCTATGAAACAGTTCATCTCTAAAAGACAAGGAATCTGATTCCACTAGAAACCTGTAGAAAACACAATTCACTTTTAACTTAGTTTACTAGATGTCTGAGTTAGACTAATTTAAATGCAGATTAATGTTGCATATTTTTATAATTGTTGGAATCAGCAAATTAGGTTGTCTTTTATACTGAACATTTCTCAAAAGGTAAGATGAGAGAAAAAAATTAACTTTTTTTGGAAATAGAGTCTCACTATGCTGCCCTCAGTAGAGTGTAGTAGCATCACAGCTCTCAGCAACCTCAAACTCTTGGGCTTAAGCAATTCCTTGCCTCAGCCTCCCAAGTAGCTGGGACTACAGGTGCCTGCCACAACACCCAGCTATCTTGGCGGGGAGGGCGGGGGGGAGTTGCAGTTGTTTAGCAGGCCTGGGCCAGGCTTGAACCCACCAGCCTCAGTGTATGTGGCTGAGATATGGGCGCCAAGCCAAGAAATAATTAACTTTTATTGGCTTCTTTAATGCATTATAATTATAGTAGAACCTCCATAGCTGACCACCTCCCTATAATTGACAACCTCAAGTTGACCTAATTTTCACAGACTAGACATGGACCACACTGTTACAGTACCATAGGCCTGGTTTTTGTTGACCAGTTTGTTACAGTCCTGCTGATGGTCAACATACAGAGGTTCTACTGTATGTTTTGTCTTCAAAAAAAAAAATTTTTTTTTGGTTTTTTGGGTTTTTTTGAGATAGAGTCTTATTTTGTCGCCCTCAGTAGAGTGCCATGGTATCACAGCTCACAGCAACCTCAAACTCTTGGGCTTAAGCAATTCTCTTGCCTCAGCCTACCAAGCAGCTGGGACTACAGGTGCCTGCCACAACACCCAACTATTTTTTTGTTGTAGTCTTTGTTGTTTGGCAGGCCCAGGCCGGGTTTGAACCTACCAGTCCTGGTATACATGGCCTGCACCCCAGCTGCTGAGGTACAGGTGCCGAGCCAGTCGCTAAGAATTTTTATTTTTTTGTTTGTATTATCTTTTTCGGAGACAGAGTCTCACTGTGTTGCCTAGCCTAGAGAGTCATGGCATCAGCCTAGCTCACAGCAACCTCAAACTCCTGTGCTCAAGCAATCCTCCTGCCTCAGCCTCCCCAGTAGCTAGGACTACAGGTGCCCCACCACTACATCCAGCTAATTGTTCTGTTTTTACTACAAATGAGGTCTTGCTCTTGCTCAGACTAGTCTGAAACTCTGGAGCTTAAGCAATTCTCCCACCTCTGCCTCCCAAAGTGCAAGGATTACAGGCATGGTTACAGACACAAACCACTACACCTGGCTGAGAATTTTTATCTCTTAATATGAATTGTCAGACGGCAAAATAATAGATTCCCAGGTAGTTGATTCAGTAATAAGTATATGTGCACTTAAGAGTACACATTGTGTTTTAGCATTCTGGGTGTCCAAGGAATATGGATTGCTTGAGCTTAGGAGTTTAAGACCAGCCTAAGCACGAAGAAAACCGTCTCTACTAAAAATAGAGAAAAACTAGTCAGGCATTGTGGTGGGCACCTGGAGTCCCAGCTAATTGGGAGGTTGAGGTAAGAGGATCACTTGAGTCCAAGAGTTTGAGGTTGCTGTGAGCTATGACACCAGAACTCTGTACACAGGGCAAAAGAGTGAGACCCTGCCTTAAAAAAAACAAAAAACAAGACAAACAAACAAAAAAAAGAGTTTACATGTGCATAAAACAGGGTGGGCACATGTGTTCCTCTCATAGTTTTCTCATTACACTGACACTACAATAACTAAGAAAATATTTCTACATCCTTTACTTTTAGCAAAGTGGTAAATGAAAGCCAAACATTACAAGCAAAGAGTAAATATTTACAAAAATCATTATTTTTATCATGTTCTTATAAAAACATATTCCTTTTACCAGATTTCTATCATTGTCATCCCAGGCTTGATCCAGCTCATAACATATTTTCTAACTTGTCGATGTGCTTCTGCAGCTTCTCGAAAATCATTCCAAATCTCTTCACTGGCCTGATCTAAGGCTTTCTTTTCTTCACTTGTAGTTCTCCAAGCAGCTGTTCGCCTTTAGAGTAGGCATAGTATTAAGTATTAGTCATTTAAAAAAAGAAGAACAAGCATAAAAGTTGAAAGAGATAACATACTAATATAAGACATTTTAGATAAAGAACAAACATACATATTCAGTTTCTTTATATCAACAGTTTCTGAAATAAAGTCACATATACTTGCATTCAACCGAAATCAAGTTAAATTTTTTGTAACATTCAGGAGGAAAAAACTTAAGTGAGATTTTATTCACAGGAAACCTAATAGAATGCCAACAAAAAATAGTAAGAAAGGAAAGAACCAGAAAAGTCAGAGAAGAGTCCTAGAGACAAAGCAAGTGACAAAAAAGTATCATTCTTCCACTTGAGATAATATATACTTAAGAGTCATCAAAACAGCAAAACAATTTTTATTTAAAACTTTGCCAACAGGGTAAATATGAACCCAAAGATCAGACCTGGAAATCTGCATATATGTACTCAAAACATATATTTTGTGCATGTGTAGAACTTTTCTAATTCAATATATATTAGAGGTAATCTTCCTTGAAACATGTGGCTCGGCTCGGCGCCTGTGGCTCAAGTGGCTGGGGCACCAGCCACATACACCTAAGGTGACGGGTTCGAATCCAGCCCGGGCCCGCCAGACAACAATGATGGCTGCAACCAAAAAATAGCCAGGCGTTGTGGCGGGCGCCTGTGGTCCCAGCTAC